AATGTACTTGGCCCAACAAATGGTGATGTCCAAAACCCAGGACTGCAAACCATGGTTTGCAGGAACCAAGGGAAACTGTAGTTTAACCAACCAGAAACTATCCTCTCAAGGCAGGTGTGTGAGAGAAGGGGGAGCACCTCAGCTCATGACTCGCTCCCATTCCAACAAACCACAGTTATTGAACTGGGGACATTTGAAATCTGTACCAGGCCATTATGTGAATGAGAGCACACGCTCTATTGGACCAGGCAAAAAAATCTATGATCTATGGGCAAATCAGCAGGAGGGGCTCTGGATATGCAGAATGCAAAACCCCTCCTCTGTTCTCCTGACATCACACCATGAAAGAGAGCAAGGGTTACACCAGTTGATATACTGTACTTACTTTCAATGCTTACAAATGGTGACCGATGTCTCTTTAAAATGGAGAAGAAAGCAAAGGTTCCTCCCCCGTGTGTGATGCTGGAAGTGCTTTTGATTGATGTTTCATCTGACATGGCTTTGCTACCCCCCTTCCATGTAGGATTTCTTTTTCAGTTACCGTATTTTTCGCACCATAGGGCGCACTGGACCATAGGGCGCACCCAGTTTTTTGGGGGGGAAATAAAGGGGAAAAAATTATTTCCCCTCCAGGCGCGGGGGAAGCTCGAGCTTCCCCCGACCCCAGCCCCCAAACAGGCAGCTCTCTGCAAGCCGTGGGAGCGCTCCCACTGCTTGCTGAGAGGTCCACGAAGCCTGGACGCGCTGAGCTCAGCGCGCGCAGGCTTCAGCATGCAGGCAACTCTCCGCAAGCAGCGGGAGCGGTCCCGCTGCTTGCTGAGAGGTCCGAAGCCTGGAGAGCGTGAGGGGTCGGTGCGCACGACCCCTCTCACTCTCCAGGCTTCAGCGAAAGCCTGCATTCGCACCATAGGACGCACACACATTTCCCCTTCATTTTTGGAGGGGAAAAAGTGCGTCCTATGGTGCGAAAAATACGGTACATTGCAAATCACTCTGAGATGCCTTATGGGGAAAGATTAATAAAAGCTCTGGGATAGCTCAGTTGGTAGAACGTGAGGCTCTTAATCTCAAGGTTGTGGGTTCAAGCCCCATGTTGGCAAAAAGATTCCTGCATTGCAGGGGGTTGGACTAGATGATCACAGAGGTCCCTTCCAACTCTACCATTCTATGATTCTCTGAGATAAGGAAGGAATATTTCTAGTCCTCATCCATAACAAAAACATTTTTTTTCCTGATAAAGATGATCAACAAGATGTTCTTCTAGGCTCCGTGTGAGCTTTGAGGCACACTTCATTAATTTTGGTCTCAGCTTTGAGATATCATGGGTTCAGAGGTGTTTGACATTTTCAGCTGTTTCAGGAAAGCTTGAACACTGTATTTTATTGAGCCTGACAAAACTCCAAAACAACATTACACATTTCTTAATTAGAATTCGAAAAGGTCAGGCTGGCTGTTGGCTGATGACTTATGCCTCAATCCGTATCTGTATACTTGTGTGAAATACAGCATTTCCACAGTGTTAAAAATGTCTCTGTAAATTGATTTAAATATTCACAGGCCCAGCCAGCTAAGAAAATATATGAGGCAGTAACACACACACACACACACACACACACACACACACACACACACACTGAGAGACATCTAGGGGACTTATCAGAACAACCCATTCATTGTTTGCTAGTTTGGTATGTCAAAAAAGTTGACTACCACAATTAGGCAAGCCGACCTCATAATATCCTGTTTGTCCTCTGTGTTACAAGCCCTTTGCCCCTTTTGTGGTTTGTAGAATATGTTGTGATTTCTTCTTGTCGCCTTGCTTGCTGGATACTCAAGCCTAAAATAAATAATGAACAGTTATTAGCCTATGTGGACAGGTTACTGCTAAGCAATGGTTAAGATAAACAGAGGAAGGGAGAGCAAAACGTGTACCAAAATAGGAGTCTGGCTGTCAACTTGCAAAGCATCATTTTTAATTTAGGAAGCCAATGTTAAAATCTGCAACTGGACCAATGAGAAAACTAGACCAGTGACAGCAAAGCTAGCACCATGGGAAAGGAAAGGCTACAATAAAGCTCACAACTGTTTTTAATGCAAGAGAAAAGAAAAAAGAAAAGCTGTTTGCACCCTTATGTGCCTGTGGCAGAACTACTTTAACTAGATACTATTATAGATTAATTAAGGACGCAGGTGGCACTGTGGTCTAAACCACAGAGCCTTAGGGCTTGCCGATCAGAAGGTTGGCGGTTCGAATCCATGCAATGGGGTGAGCTCCTGTTGTTTGATCCCAGCTCCTGCGCATCTAGCAGTTCGAAAGCATGTCAAGTGCAAGTAGATAAATAGGTACCGCTCCAGCGGGAAGGTAAACGGCGTTTCTGTGCGCTGCTCTGGTTTTTGCCAGAAATGGCTTAGTCATGCTGGCCATATGACCGGGAAGCTGTCTGCGTACAAACCCCAGCTCCTCAGCCTGTAGAGCAAGATGAGCGCGCAACCCCAGAGTTCGTCTGCGACTGGACCTAACGGTCCGGGGTACCTTTACCTTTATTATAGATTAATTAGAAATTATAGTTATTGATCATTAATGGAGATTTGAAGAATTGGATAACTCAATGATTACCACTGGTTATTTCAGAACTGGAGGTTTGATCAAGGCAAAAATCACAAACCAAATTCAACACCTGTTTTTAGAAACTGCTTTAATACCGCAGAAGACACATTTCTGTGTAGAACAATGGTGACCTCCAGTGGCAGAAGAAGCTGAATGGTACTAGAAATGATAGTCGGCAACTGATGGCAACCTATATAAAAATATAACAATGAATATATTCATTAATATATTAATATTATATATGAATTAATATATTAATATGACCTGTTACTAAATTAAAGAAATCACCCATCAGTTATTTAACATGCTTTTCATTTGCATAAAATACTCCTACATGAACAATACAAGATTTAAGGGTTTGGATAAACGTGCCCAAAATTATAGTAGCTCCTTTCTGTTGTTCCTCTTAAGCATTAATTAGAATTAAGAAAATGAATGTGTATGTAGGATGTGAAATATTCCTAAAATTCTATGATTGCGGTGTAAGTTAGCATTGCATTTGGATATATCCTGAGCAACACTCAAATAATAATATAATAGTAGGTCCTTAGAAAAGCCAAAGTAAAACGGCTTACCCTCTTCTATAATACGAAAGTGTATGTAATTTTTGATTTTAAGGCCTGTTAAATATGGGCATTTGGAACTGATATAATCCTAATGATTTGGAAAGAGAGATTAAAGCTATTCAGACTTACATTTTCCTCAAGGTCATAGCCAGGGAGAGAGTAGACGATTCCATACATTATTTGAATGTAGAGTCTCTGCTGAGTTGACAAAACGATATTCTCACTAAAGGATTCCAACCTTTTTTTTGGTTATCCTACCTTACTATAGAGCTGTTTACCTGATGTTATACATTTTGCCTAGCTTTCATTATTTTAGATGATACAAGCAGTTTGTCTACTGAAATTGCCTCTTGTTTAACCATGGATGTTTTTGGGCTGTGAAATATTATTTAAATTGCTTTGGAAACAAATCTGTTGTACTAACATTTGTATGAATCCTTTCTGTATAGAAATGCCTCTTACGACAGACCTAGATGTGGTAAAATCCTGACTAGGCCGAAGTCAAACCTAATTCCCCGTTAACTGTGATAGGATAGGAGCTCTATCCTGTTCTGTGATTTCTGTGCCAGCAAATAATTGCTTAGAGGTGGCCTTCTATTCCAGTAACCCATTTTCATGAAGCAGAACAATACTTTGGGCATGTACATATCATGCCTTTCTTCTGGGTAACACTATTCTGTTTTCTTTGCATATTTGCAGGTGTTGGATTGTTGGTATGGACGCTGATTGCTGGAACAGAATATTTCCTATATCCTGTCTTCGGCTGGGTAATGTTTGTAGCTGTGTTTTACTGGGTCCTTACGCTGTTCTTCCTAATCATCTACATGACAATGACGTACACTCGGATTCCCCAAGTGCCATGGACCACTGTAGTGAGTATCAGCTTTCATCTAATTCATAACACGGTACTTGCTTTCCCACAAAATAATATAATGCAGAACTGGAGCATTAACCAGCGACACCACCCAAGGTATTGGGGGGCGGGTCAAATAGGTCCTTCCTAACACCGGTTGTTACTGACCCAAATTTTGAAGACAGTGCATTAGCTGGGAGACTTAAAACAACGATGATTGTATGGAATTTTTCCTGGGGTACAGATCTTTTGACAAAGGTTGTTGTAAAAGCAGAAGCTTCAGCTAGATGTGAGCAAACCTAGATGAGTTTTTCAGTAGAGAAGTCCGGCAATAACAGTAAGTCTAGGATTGTGGCCACAGGAATAAGCTCTCATCTCTTGTTATTTTGCATTGCTTCCAGTTGGGTAGGAAGCATCTATTGAACACTGCACATGGGGGAAAAACTACCATTTTGTCTTTCTTTGCCCTCCCCACAGGGCCTGTGTTTTAACGGGAGTGCCTTTCTTTTGTACTTCATTGCTGCCATTGTAGACGCATGTGCCGTCACCAAGGAATTGGACAGCCACAACTACAACAGCTGGGCGGCTTCTTCAGTAAGTTAGTTTTTAATCTTTGAATCATGAATAGCACTCAGAATATGGAAGTGGGTGGAGGAAGTTGTTTATGTGTTCCAACAAATATTCAGGAACAAGGTATTAAATTGGTGCACGTTGAAAGAGGGGTAATCTAGATACGTAAGCATTGTTGATACCATAATAAAGAGACTGGCACAGCATCTTCCTTATTTTTATTTCTTTATTTCTTCTACACTAGAATTCAAAACCTCATGGGTCTATTAAAACACACTTTTGTTCACCCTGAAGACATCCCCTACATTGTCTCCCAAGACAGACAGGTGCCAATTTTCTTGCTACATCCAAAGAGGGAAATTGTGGTTTAAGCTCTGCTTACAAACCAGGATATGAAACCAAGAGGTTCATTAAACTGAGACCATTAAAGCAGTGAAGGATGCTGAAACTACCAGCTCACTTTAACCACATGTGAACTGAAACCAAAAGAATTCCTTACATGGCAAGCTGAACAGAACAGGGGTGCTCAAGACAGGGCCCTGAAGGACAATAAAACAATGAGTGGTTATTTTAAAACCCTTTTCTTGTACCCCATGAGTGATCTGGGAATATAAATAAATCTGCTAAATGGTTTTTTAGAATGTTGTATTATTTTATTGTTGTTAGCCGCCCTGAGCCCAGCTTCAGCTGGGGAGGGTGGGATATAAATAAAAATTTATTATTATTATTATTACTATTTTCTAACAGCTGTTTTTCTTTTCCCCCCACAGTTCTTTGCATTCGTTGTAACTTCCTGCTACGGTGGAAATGCCTACTTTAGTTTTGTATCTTGGAGATCGCGGAACTTGCAATAAATGTCCTCTTTAAGTTAAGAAAAAACACATTTGGGTATAATGCATCGTTTTTAAATTATCAATTCCTGCAGTGGTTTTTCTTAATGCTCAGGCAAAGCATTTTTACTCAAGAGAGTTTCAATGGCTCATGGCTCACATAATGGCCAAACCATAGTTGACTGTCAGGAGGATGCTGTGGATTTTCATGCCCCTTCCTATCTCTCCCTCGTACAAGCTAATTCCATATTCTTACTTCCTGATTTGTGGTAACCATTGTTTCCTGTGACTTCCAAATTGGAGGATACCATAAATGAAGAAACTGATTATGGATCAGCATGAGGGACGGTGAGAAGAAAAGCATGGAAACTCATAGCATGTTCCCAATGGCCAAACCCACAGTATGGCTATGATACCTAAACTCAACCAGTTATCATGTTAGCATCTGATACTGAACCAGGATTCAGTACAATGCACTCTCCCTTTCTCCTGTGCGAGTTGGAGGACATCAGAAAGTTTTACTTAATTTTCTTTAAGCAAGGCTTGTAGCATCTGGATTAGGGTTTATGCTAGAACAGTAACTCTGGCCAGTTTCAGAACAAGCAAACTTCAAACCATGGTTTATGAAGCTGTCTTGTTTAAACTAACCATAGTTGATATAAACTACAAACCCCAATTTAAGTGTGATGTGACAAGCTGTGTTTGAGGGGAAACGAAAGCAGAGGTTTCTGAAGTCATCCTGGCCGTGCAGGAAGAACATGAGAACATGTGAGGCCAAGGGGAGTCTGTGATCCGGAAACCAAGCCTTATGAGGAACAGTTGAAGGAATTTGGTATGTTTAGCCTAGTAAAGTACTGAGAGGAGTTATGATAGCCATCTTCGAATATATAAAGGGCTGTCACAGGGAAGATGTAGCAAGCTTGTTTTCTCTTGCTCTGCAGGCTAGGCCCCGAACCCATGGCTTCAAGTTACAAGAAAGGAGATTCCGACTAAACATCAGGAATAACTTTCTGACAGTAAGAGCTGTTCGACAGTGGAACAGACTCCCTCAGGACCCTCCTTCTTTGGAGGTTTTAAAGCAGAGGTTAGGGTGACTTATCTGTCATCCATGAGCTAGCTGAGATTCCTGCATCACAGGTGGTGACTCTCGGGATCTCTTCCAACTCTGCAATTCTATTATTCTAGTGTGAACCAGACTAATGAGTTTGATGGTGCCTACTTCCAAGTAAGTATGCATAAAGCCCTAAATGGCCTTAGCCCTGTATAGCTGAAGGAGTGTTTCCACCTCCATCGTCCAGCCTGAGGTCCAGCTCCGAGGGCCTTTGTGCGCTTCTCTCACTGCGAGACAGGGAACCGGGCAGAGGGCCTTCTTGGTCATGGCGCCTGTCCTGTGGAACGACCTCCGATCAGATGTCAAACAAATGAGCAACTAAAAATTGTCCAGTAGCACCTTAGAGACCAACTAAGTTTGTTCTGGGTATAGTGGTACCTCGAGTTAAGTACTTAATTCATTCTGGAGGTCCGTTCTTAACCTAAAACTGTTCTTAACCTTAAGCACCACTTTAGCAAATGGGGCCTCCCACTGCTGCCGTGCCACCGGAGCACGATTTCTGTTCTCATCCTGAAGCAAAGTCTCAACCCGAGGTACTATTTCTGGGTTAGCGGAGTTTGTAACCTGAAGCGTATGTAACCCGAGGTACCACTGTATAAGCTTTTGTGTGCATGCACACTTCTTCAGATACACTGAAACGAAAGTCCAGTGTTTCAGTGTATCTGAAGTCCTTCTGTTTCAGTGTATCTGAAGAAGTGTGCATGCACATGAAAGCTTATACCCAGAACAAACTCAGTTGGTCTCTTAAGGTGCTACTGGACAATTTTTTATCTATTTCTAACTGCATCAGACAAACATTGCTACCTACCTGAAATGAATAAATATTTGACTTTTAGAGACACCTGAAGGCAGCCCTGTTCAGGAAGTTCTTAATGGTTGATGTTTTGTTGTTCTTTTAATATATTGTTGAGAGCCACCCAGAGTGGATAGACAGTCAGATGGACAGCATAATAAATATAAATTATTATTAGAAAGAAGCCTTAGTTATATTTGAAGGGGAATATAAGGGATTAAGACTGGAAACCTCCACCACCCCCCCTTACGCTGGACTGGGGAGGATTTGTAGGGAGTGAAGACATTTCTCTCCTCGCCTCTGCCAGTTCATCTCATCTCCTGCTAACTGATGACAGTGGGGTGGTGTTTCTGCTACTCTGCCAGCACAGACCTCCCTCTTCTGCACATTGAAAGTATTCCACCCACTGATTTCTCATCAGTCTGGAAGAAAGTTCTGAATAGGGTGTTCCAAGGATAAGACTGAGCCAGCTTGGAATCCCAAGTTGCTTTCTTAGCCTGTGCTGGCCAGTCGTGGGTGTGATCTGGGCCCAATTCCTGCACCAGCCTAAAGCCCTATCTTCCTGTCTCCACACCAATGCCTCCGTGAGTGTGTCTCGTTTTTAGCAAGGAGCAATAGTGTCCTCTGCCTGATTAAGAAGTATTGTGAATATTTTACATCAATAAATATGTTTCAGAAGGCAGTGTATGTATTATGTTGTAGCAAAATGTGCCTCCCTTTATTTTTTTACTTTGTACATATAACTGTCACAGTCCAATTATATATATATTGACTCAGATACTCATAGGACTGCAGCTTTAGAATAGGTGATGAGATATATATTAGAATAATTTATAATATTTTTATACATGTTAACTTTCTGTGTTTAGGAAAACTTTCCTGCTTAAATGCTACTGTACACAGTCTTGAAGATTTAGAGATCTAAAAGAGATTCTCCTTGGAGCGCTGTTTTCTAAATTGGCCTGGAAGAAAATATTCAGCCTCTGGTTGTTGTAACAAGACACAATTTGGCAATTGCTTACAAGAGTTAACTATCTAATGGTGCCAAAGGCCAAAGTTAGTGTACTATTCTGAAGCTGCTGCAGTGTAAACATATGACTAGAATGGGAAATCTACAAGACTGTAGAGTGGATCCTTTCTCAAATTAATATGGGTAGGCCAATCAGCTTTCATTGCTGGTAGATTGTTAGAAGCAGTGGGAACATTCAAAATTCACAGCTCAATTTTATATGTGTCTACTCAGAAGTAAGTCCAACTGAGTTCAATGCAACTTACTCCCAAGGAAGATGTGTCTAGGATTGCAGTCTTAAAGAAATTACTTTTAAAGTAACTGGCTCATATTGGGTGGCTATGTGGAAGAAACAGAAAACCGTCCTCTGGAAGTTCACATTTTGTACATTCTTATCTCAGACATAAGTTCTTTTTCATTTGATTGCTGACAAACAAGTTCTTCCTTGATTATGGATTTGTCCAATAGCAATATCGGTGCTATGATATTACAGCAGAATCTATGTTGGAGATGATTCGATTTTTTTTTTAATCTTTCAATCTGCGTATTACGATTACCAAGCTATTTTTTTATATATATAAAAAGCAAACCATTTCCAACCTGTGTGGTGCCATGACCTTCTCCTCCTTCGTTGCACATTTTGTAAAGTATTGGATTTGTATTCCCTCGAACCATTTCAATGTACATAAAAACAAAAGTTTTTTTTTAAAAAAATTAATTGTTGCAGTGTTCTTTATTTCACTTACTAATTCAAAAATTGTGGAATGTCAATCCAAGGAGTATTATTTATACCTTGATCTTTGACTCGGTAAGCAGGCCTTCTTCCTGTCAAAGGTCTCATTTCTTCAGGACCAATCTGTCAAGAACCAGCATGCTGGGCAGGAATGAGAGCTCCAAACAAGGCAGAGCCACCCCTTCTTCTTCTCTCTTTCTGTGAGACATGGGGTCACCATCCTTTTTGGGTCTCTGGGCACACTTGCAAAGAAGCGATCCTGTCATCTGCAATAGAATTGTAGTGTTGGAAGCAACCCCAAGTGTCATCTAGTCGAATCCCCTGCAACGCACACACACTCTACAACCAAGCATACACCACAACGTATTACGTTAACTACAGAAGAAACCTTTCATGCCTAATTTCAGCAGGTGCAATGGACTGTAGGGGTATCAGGGAAGGCCTCTTGCAGCTGCATGTACACTGGATCAAGTTTGGTCATTTGTTACAGTAGCACAGGCTCTGGTGGGTTGAGTGGATGAGGCCAATAGAAGATCCAATGGTCAAGGCAGCGATTTCTACACGTGCTATAGAGGGAACGGAGGAGCAGATGGGGCTCGTCAACCTGGGAAGGTGGTCGCCCTTCTAGAAGGAAAACTGATGCCTTGCAGTTACAGTCGTAAAGGTAAAGGGACCCCTGACCATTAGGTCCAGTCGTGACCAACTCTGGGGTTGCGGCGCTCATCTCGCTTTATTGGCTGAGGGAGCCGGCGTACAGCTTCCAGGTCATGAGGCCAGCATGACTTAAGCCGCTTCTGGTGAACCAGAGCAGCACACGGAAACGCCTTGGGTTAAATATGCCTTGGGTTAAATATGCTTCAGGTTGAGCATTTTCAGGTTACGCTCCGCGGCGACCCGGAAGTAACGAAACTCGTTACTTCCGGGTTTCGCCGCATGTGCAAATGCTCAAAATGACGTCATGCGCAGAAGCGGCGAATCGTGCCCCGTGCACACACAGTCGCAGGTTGCGTTCTACTCAGGATGCGAACGGGGCTCCAGAACGGATCCCGTTCGCATCCAGAGGTACCACTGTATACTCATCCATGAGAAAGAGGCTTCAGGAGTAAACCCTGAAGAAAAATCTATACCCTCTGCCACGCAGGATACCTTCAGGGGAAGAAAAAGCAAACCCCTTCCTCCATTTCAGCAGGGGTTTCAATCACCCCTTCTGGACAGGGGAACCAAGTCGTCTTCTGAACAGGTGGTGGAGGAGGGTGATTGATGGACCTAATAAGGACCTGGCCTGTGAAGCCAAAATACTTCTCTCCTGATTTAAAGGGGGGAAATGGTATAATGGTCTAGTAGGCTACCGTATTTTTCGTTCCAGAAGACACACTTTTTCCCTACTAAAAAGTAAGGGAGACTGTG